GGCTTTTTAATATAGAACTTTCTCTCTCCGCTTTATCGAATCGCGAAAGGGAATCGACGAAGAACACTCACTTCTTCTGGAACATCAATATAGAATTGTTTCTCAGGTCACTGAGATCGATTCCTTTGCCTTTCCTAGCGATATCTGGGTGTTTCCTGCACAACAACCAGCCCACGTGCGCGAAGAAGAATCCATTCTTTGCATTGTGGGGATCCGCATCCGTCTCGCTGTATTTATGGTGAAGTCTGTGATCTCTAGCCCAATCGATAGCTGCATCCTATCAACGATAAATAAAAGAGATTTAAAAAAGGAGAAGGAAAAGACACACAAAAGGAAAATGAGATCGCTTATAAATGCGACCAAGAGTTGAACAATGCTAATTTTTATGACTTCAATTGAAAAAAAAAAAAAAAAAAAAGATTTTTTTCATTCATTCATCAATAATAATTTCAAAGTCATACAATTTGTCGTTTACCAATTACTTGATTGACTACTTACTTGGAACGCAATGGTGTTGAATATCATCAGCAACATCTGGAGTGGCCATTTCGCTTTGTATGATCTGTGTGCCCATAATCTGTGTGCACCAGCTGTGATTCCCAATCCACTGCATACGTACAAAGATATTGCTGTAAAAACGGAAACGAAACGGTAAAAAAAAATTACTGATCAAATATTACCGAACCTTTGTTTATGTAATTTCCGACAGATAAACACCTGTTAGAATATCCGAATTTTTAATACGTTGATACGTTTTAATACGTAACACATTAATACGAGAAAAGGTTCAAAAGTTCTTTTCCGATAGAAATGCGAATTCTTTTAAAAGAAATATACAGCGATGAAATTTTATTTAATTCGTTAGCTTCTCTGCGAAACGTTAAAACGAAATGTTAATTGCAACTGTTGCAATTTGTTGATCATTGCATTTTCTAATCTCAATTATACCACGACCACGTAGTAACTGTCGAACAGTAATACAACAGAAAGAATTTTTTCCGAAATTTGCATCAACAAATGTACAGGTACAATTCAACATTCAACATTTCGTTAATACAGGCTATTACTCTCCTCTCTTCTGTCTCTTTCTTTTCAGATAATTAACGCTAACTAAGCAATTCGTACTACGTGAAACGTATAGCTGGATGATCCAGATTCGATCATTTTGTCACGTAGATGGAACAAACACTGATTGGACTCGGATCATGAAAATTTCGCAGACAATTGAAAGAATTTTTTTTTAAAAAATTCCAAGTTAAAAATTAATTGACGCTGGAATTTATTCAGATTTATGGAAAGCGAGCAGATTCGCATATGCATTTTTAAAGATTTGATCGATTTTTCACGAAATATATAAAGAGAAACTTAATTTTAACTTCCATGCGAGTTTGCCCTTTGGTTGTTGTCAAGTTACGCCACGCGAATTATTTATTACGTGCTCTCTCTAAATTTTAAGTTTAGAGTTTGAACTATGAAAAATGACTTTATAATAACGGGAATAACGGGGATATTACTCGAGAAAATAAACGGATCGGCCATAAAGGACATCGTTAGTTCCAGATTAAAAGACTGGTTAGACGAAACCTTGATAATCGACGGGAAATAATTCCAGGCATTTGCTCACCAAAGAGTGTCGTAACGATTTTTGCCGATGTAAAAACAAGGTACAATCCATAGATTGCACCTAGATGAAGATACGTGAAAATAATCACGTTCCTCCAGACGATTTGTTTCTTGATCTTCTTCTTAGGCTCGCTCAGACTTGAAGTCTCCTCCAGGGTCTCCTCTTCGAAAAGCACGCCAGTCGGGGTATTCGTTATATTCGGGGCCATTTCTCTCTCGTTTCTGAAAACGGGCAGATAATATAGATCGAGGGAAACACGTTACACTGAACGAAGTGGATTCAGAAAATTATTAAACGCTGGCAGCAACAAGTATCCATGATAAATAAATGCCGAGCTCAGAATTTAAAAATTTATTATCTAAATATATGCGTTAGAACATGTATATTTGTAACATCCGTCGTAAAAAATTTTTTTAAACGCATTCTGATTTCTAAGAAAAGTAATTTATTCGCAGAGCATATTGAAATAGAGCTAAAATTAAATACAGATATAAATAATGTATAGATATAAATAATGTATAGATATAGTAATAAAAATGTATCTTTATTATAACTTTTTAATAAACAAATCAGCTACACTGAGTTCCGAGCTTCGTGAAAATTTACATAATGTATGAAAGTGAAAATTCATTATTGCTTTTGATAGAAAGAGAATTCGAAATTTTTGAAAGACAAGTGATACAATTGTATTCTTTTTTCTTTTTCTCTTTTTGAAAGTAAGTTGAAGAATTGTTTCGTTAATTTTGCAATTAATATTATTGATAATGAAAGACATTTATTTATCTGTACGTCTTACTTAAATAGATATTTAAATAGATATTTACATTAATATTAATATTTATTAATATTTAAATATTTACCTCTGATAGAAAAAAGGAATACTATATTTCCACATTGAAAATTCATTATTGCTTTTGATAAAATTCGAAATTTTTGAAAGACAAGTGATACAATTGTCTTTTTTTTTTTTCTTTTTGAAAGTAAGTTGAATTGTTTCGTTAATTTTTCTATTAATATTGACAATGAAAGACATTTATTTGTCTGTACGTTTCATTTAAATAGAGGTATTTACCTCTGACAGAAAAAAGTATATATTTCCACATTGGTAACCTCAATGGTAAAATCAATCAACACATGTGATTAATCTCTGATTTTTGTAACTAGTAAATTAATACTAGTGAATTAATAAATTCTCAGCGAGTGCATAGCTTTGTTTTTTCATTCATACCTATTACCACACGTTGAGTAAATCGAATGGCGTTTGAGGTAACGAAGGAACGTCAGGTTAGCTAAAAACGATCGATAATTGCTGCCCTGATTATGGAACACACAGATCTCCGAATGACCGAGTAATAAAGTCAACTTTGTAATTTCCAGCTACTTCACTCGTCAATTCCAATTAATCGGAATTTGCAAAACATAAGCCAAGGATTGAACGCATTCTATGAATTAACTTCACAACGTTTCTTAAAAGAAACAGAAAAAAAGAAAAAAGAAGTTTGCAAACAAATTAATTCAGATTTCTTTTCGCGGCGTTGAAACGATATCTGAAGAACTTTCAAGCGAAGAACAAATATTTTTCACAAATGAACGAGACGAAATGAGAAGAAAGAAACGTGACGACAGTGAGGAAGAACATCCTCATTATCAACGCAGAATTTTTTGTATAGAATAAGCGTTGTGTTCGAATAAAAAATTCTGGGAACAAGGTCATCATGTTTGAACGGTGACCAAGGATCTATAGTAAAGGTCTATACAGTAAATCTATAAATGTCAGAAGACGAAAAATGATAAAAATTTGCTACAATATTTTACAACCTATACCGTGTAGAAACTTATACAGTTCTTCTAAAAATTCTTTAAATATCATTTCATCGCTTTATAAAGTCGTATCAAACAATATTTTTGACGAAGGAACATAATCTAATTTTATATTTATCTAGTTAGATACACAAAATTCAGCGAGTTGACAATTTTAGATATTTTGAAGACAGCCGAACGTTTTAGTTGAGAGTTTTGCAGAATAGTTCAACAACGAGGAAAGAATCTTTAAAAAATTTATGATCTTTATGATCGGTATAGTGTACACCAATACAGTGTTCACAAATGTTGCATCACCGTGTAATCGAGTGGATATTAAATTAAATTTACTTTGTATTGAAACTTACAATTCGCAAATAATATGTAATAATATCACGAGAAAAAAACATTAGAATAGGAAACATATAACATTACGCATATATATTTTTGGCCTAAGGAAAAATTGAGATTAAGAGGTGTCCATGATTCCATGCAAAGTGGATAATTAAGACGAACTTCTTTCAATTAATCCTCTTTTTACAAAATCCATACATTGTACATATTTTATTTCAATTATATACAGAAATTGTTGCACGTTTGTTACATTTTTATACAAGAAGCGTGTCGCAAAGAGCATCAAAGGAAACACAAAAGAGGAAAAGATAAGAAAAAAGAAAACTTTAGAATCAAACCTCTCTTTCTTCGTAGAAAGAAAGAAAAAAAAAAAAAAAACAGTACCTGTTCATCAATTCAATAAACGTGTCACCTACATTTTCGAACCACGCAAATGAAGTATCACGCGAACGTTTATCCCCGTTAGGAAACCGAGCAACCCTTCGTCCTATGAAAACAGGACATCCCAACGAAATCGATAACACAAGCGGCGAAAACCAGCGTTCGCCGACCAACCTTCCAAGTTCGATCCACCACCGTCTGCGACGACTCTCATCGTTCACAATTTTGACCACCGTCAACGTGATTACTTTCAAACTGTTGTATCAAATATTTTCCATCGCTAACGACGTCTGCCCCCCATCCATTTCGACATCATCGCCGAAATCGACATCGTGTCATTTTTCGTCCACGTTTCTACATCTCGGCTGGTCGTTCTTTAACGATTAAGATTTCGATCGTCATCACTTTCACTGTTGTCAAGGCTGTATTCACAGTCGTTGACCCGTCCGTCTATACATTCAGGGGATGACAAAGTTGCTTCAGTTCAGCCTGTCTGTTTCATGAACACCTGTAACCACCCTCTGGCAGCCGGGTTTTCTCAGCGAAAGAGATGGTTGGTCGCTGATCGAGTCAATGGAAGAATATGGTGGCAGGATAGGAAAGGGGAAAAGAAAAGAGTAGCCTCGCGGGTGGTTGGAACGAGGTCGTTTATCGACTGGGTCGCGAGACGGCCGCCCTCCTTGGGACGCAGACTCGTTCGCGCACAACCCAACACCATCCCTTTCTCTCTCTCTCTCTCTTTCCTCCATTGAAGACTGCAGGAACTTTGCTGAAGAGTTTGTTGATCCGTTGGTTCGGTTCATAGAACCGACTGGGTACGTTTGTACCTTGACATTGAACTTTCCTCGGGAAAGTGCAGCAGAAAAACTACATTTACTTTGCGGAGAGAGAGAGAGAGA